AAGTCTGTATATGGGGGTGGGGGGGGGTACTGAATCCACTCTACTGTATGATCATTGTGTAGTCTTCTGTGTATGTTACTAGACATATTACTCTTTTAATACTGTTATAATATTTGTTATTATCATCACTAGTAGTAGCAGTAGAATTGATATAGCTATTCAGTGCTAATGTACAATAATGTAACAATGTGCATATGTCCATGGCTCTCTGCATGCATGCTCCAGTTTTGTTTTGGCACTGGAAAGGTTAATGTTTAACAGTGTGAATGTTTCACCAACTAATGTGTGAACAAAGCACAATGGCTGCACTGTATAGGCTCCTATTTATTCAGAGTCACTTCCTCCCTTAATAGTCAGCTCTACTTTCCTCACAGAGGAAAAAAGTAGGTCAAGGAAAAGTCATGTTTGAGGTAATTCACTCTAGGGGACCGCTTCTCTGATCATTAGATGACATTGGTTAACCCCAAGAGTGAGGTCATTTTCAAGTCAAAGTTACGCCCAGAATCCGGCTTGAGTGGTAGCGTGTCTGTGCATTTTACAGTACACAGAGGGTAAATCTGAGAGGGAGGATATCAGTGGGAAGGTTGAAAAGAGAGAAGCATGAAAAGACAGTATTGTTTATTAAAAAAAAGATAAAGGAAAGCTTCAGGAAAAAAGGACGGAGGCTGTTTTTTTTTTTTTCTTTTTTTCTGTTTTTTTGACCTTGTGGATTCTGCTTTAATCAAATATTGGTTTTCAGATGATGTGCTCTGAAGGAGCTCACTCTGAAGGAGTTTCTGCTTTGATGCAAGTGAACAAAAGATCCACAGCGAAGAATCACTTGGATAGTTCATTCTTGAGCTTCTTGCGCAAAGACCTGAACAAATGAGGAATGCAAACACATTGTTCCCCCACCTACTGAAATTTCTTGTGAAGAGTGTGTAAGGTTTAAGCAGGATATTTGCAGACTTTTTGGATTAAGTATGATTTCATCCATGCAGTACTCTGGACTACCTTTTCATCAGGACCTAATGCTCTTATTCAGGCCTTTTTGTCTTCCTTTTCATCTTTCTCTACAACATCCAGCTCACATTTTCCTTTCAGATTCTCCCTTTAATTACAGTCATAATAAAGATGCATTTCAGTTGATATTTAACAGATTTTCCCATCCAATTATGTACGGAGTGTGCCAGAGAAAAGTAGGCATCTATTTATAATTGTGCAAGTAGATTTTTGTTGATTTTTTTTGTTTGGCCACTTTTATTAATACCATATGTACATGCACTGTCGCACATTCAATACAGTACATCTTGAGTCATATATTGAAGAATCACATATTTTGTTCACATTATTCATTATGTACTTTATGAGCCTGTATGTTAGAGCCCACACTAATGGGGATGTAATTAAAAACATGTCATTGTGATGGAGGGCCAAGCTTTAATAGCATGAAAGCTATCGGCTTGTTTCCTCCTGAGCCGAGCAAATGGATATAAAAACAGTCAATCAAATCTGGTCTGTTGCAGCTACTTGCACCACAGATTAAAAGAGCGATCAGCCGCTTTTATTCGGTAATTTCTGCAAAGACATCAAAGAAATATTGTCTGCAGGTAGAAAAAGTTTGGTTCATTTTCTTTGAATAGTACCCCTTGAGAAAGGTGTAGTCCTGAACCACAAAATACGGCTTTTCTTTAATCCACTGCTTGATAGTGTATTTTCTGTCCGCAAGGAGTGCATGTATGATTTTGCAAAAAGTGTGATTTGCCAGGAGAAAATGGCCCGTATTTGGTAAGACAGTTTGTACTTCAGGCCAAACTCTTCACACAGTTATGAAAGAGCCTGTTCATTGAGAAGTCATGCCTGGGCTTTGTTTTTCTTTGCATCTGGCACTCTGTCATTCAGTCTGTTCCCACCTGGCTCGCCACCAAACCCAAATGAAAACATCAAAGTGAATCTGCAATCTCAAGTAATTGTTCTTTCAAAAAGTGTCAGTGATGTTTTATCTGCTGATAGACAGCATCAGTCAGGATGCCAGGAGAGAAAGTGCGGATGACATCAAGGTACATCTTGACAAAAATACTGGTTATAATTGAATCAGCGAAGAGTTGGATGCCTCCCTGTTCACAACAAAAAAACTAAATCAAAAGGAAAACTAAAAAAGAAAACGCACTGATGCCATATCAATTTTTGATATAGGTAGATATTACCGGATGTTAGAAAATGATTATTGTGCTCTGAGAAGTAAATGTGAACAAATATATCTACAGCAACTGGTGTGTATGGGGCTGTAGAAAGAATTATATTCTACATGTAAAGAGTTTGGAGGGCCATTTCTTTTTTCACTCACCTTTTCAAAACCTGAAAATATGGCTCTAGTGGCTGTCCTGTTTCTTACATTCACCAAACACACAAGTTAGTCCTTTTATAAAATAAATCTAAACTCTCTGTTGCTTGTCCAAGTACAATATGTGATCGAAGCAGCCAAAATAAATGTGTAAATAAATAGCCACACTAGATATCCATCCTTGGTGCAAATAGTTTTGTTGGCTACAGACAGCTGGGTGCAAATAACATCTGCCTATCATTAATGTTGCCAAGTGTGTATTATATAAGACCTATTTTACAGGTTTCTTGTTTTAAAATTAATCAGCTCGAGATATCAACTGACTGATGATAATAACATTAAGTAAATTAGCTAGCTAGTGGATCAAATCTGCCAGCGACAGTTGGAATTTCAGCCTGCTTTTGTCTACCGCCACTTGAAATCAAGGACACAAAGTTTAAAAAGTCACTGTCTGTCTGTCTGTCTGTCACTGTTCATCATTGTAAACCACCATATGTGCCATGTGAGAACAGAAAGCATGACAGGCTAAGAAACAGAAAGGTGAACTGTCAATTTTCTTGTTTCTGACTTTAAATGATCAGAATTGGTACTGCTAGAGAAAAACAGACAGTGCCCAGCTGAAATTGGTTTCTTATTTTCTGTGACCACTCCTGTAGACAGATTTGTTGTCCTTGGAACCATCCTGAGAAACTCAGAGTTCCTGTGGAACTGTTATTTGACATTATACAGGGTGAGCACATGGCACAAACTTAACCTCCCAGTGTTTTTGTTTCTATTGCAAGCAAATAACCTCAGAATGAATCACACCGCTGGGTATGAATCACATCCTTAAATCAAATTTATGATGGCAAAATAAAGAGTAATCAAGCTCAGAATGTGTTTCAAATATAAATTTGACTATACAAGTTGCATTAGGGAAATGGTTACTCATCCGTTTAATGCAGCAACAAACTTGCAGCAGCACACTCCTTCTCTGAGCACATTAAGCCCCTGCTGCTGGTTCCTCTGACGGCGAGACATATTGGATTGGTTTATGAATATTGAATAATCATCATTGGTACAAAAATAAATACCGTACAAACAAATTGAGGGCAGGCAGGGGACAGAGTAAATTTATCTGTGTAATCTCTGAGAAAGTCATCCAAATTTCAAGACAGCCTGTTGATACTAATAACAGCATGCTGAGCCGGTGTTAGCATATCGTTGAACTGACAATTTTTGTTATGTCAAACAAACTGTGTGTTTACAAGTACTAAATGTGGAATTTTAATATTTAATCATATAAAAATGCTGTGGTGCAATTGCAGGGTTTTGTCCATTCTGTGCTACATTTCAAATAAGCTCATTCTACATTTCTTAATGGTCCTAGAGACAAACCAGAAAGACATTTTTCTCGCTTAAAATATAGCTTCAGCAGTACAACATTTTGTGAAATGTCCTTATTTTGTCATATCAAGAGTCACATGAAAAGATCTATATCAGTTTCAGCTTCAGTACATAGCTCCTTGGTAGCTAGCCTAGCTTCATGAAAAAGTCCATTCCACCAACTTGAGAGATTTCTACTGTATGTGCATTGCACATGGAAAACAGAAAAAAAGCATTTGTAGTGTGTAGTTATCTCACATCAAGTTTTTGTACTTTGAATTTGATTGCTTCTGCACACGAAACAAAAAACGAGCTGGTACTAGCATGCAAGCTAACAAGATACAAAATGTAAATCTAAATGTGTTTATGGAAGGCATAACTTTTTTACCTATCACTAAGTCTAACTGTTTCCTTCTACATCCTTATTTGTGCTAAGATAGGCTTGACAAAATGAGTATTATAGCATATATAGTATATATTATAGTAGTATAGCCTTATTCTGTAACAATCAATCATTTTAGACTGTGTAGCCATGGTGATGAATAAGGGGACTTTTCACGACAGTTATACTGAGGTATTATTAGTTATTATGAAAATTATATATTGATGCTACATGTAGCCTCTGAAAGCTACTGCAAATTGATTTTGATTGCTTAAAAAGTGAAAATGGTATAAATCTGTCTTCTCATGTACTTACATTTGATCCATTATTGCACTGAAAATGGTGCTGTAATCAGAAGGACTTCAGGGTGTTGTCATTGCAATGATCGTGAGGCTCAGGTGGAAGTAGCCTGGCAATTTTTCTCCTGAAGGTGACAGGGCCTGATGGAGCCCTGAGGAACTGAATGACAAGCTTCATCATAGTGATTAAAACCCTGCAGTCGCTGCTCCCAACGGGCATTAATGGCTTTATGAGAGGAGCCTTGTAAAACTCATCAGGCTGTGTTCCCTTATGTTTTTGATTCATGGAGTCATGATAACAACACACAGTTAAACACAAGACTGTAGATAAAAAGGCAGCATACAACTTGCATTAGTTATGCGTAAGTTTGTACAGTATGTTGCATAAATTTATAACCCAAAAGTCGTTCAAAGATAAAAGCCAGAAGTAATCATGATTTCCTTCTTTTTTAACTGAGCACCATGTCCCAGGTTGGTTATGATCTAAATTACAAGCTTAGTGTGTAGTGTGTCTCAACCAAGCCATCTTTATTCAAATTATGCTTATTGATTAATCCTCTGCTATCTGAATATATTTGATCCAGTCAATTTAATTACTTGATTTATTTGTTCTTTTTGGCCTCTATTTTAGGAGTGCAAGATTCCCATCAGGAGAAGATCATAACAGTGTCCGGAGAGGGCATGGTCCACAGCCCAGACTTCCCACACACTTATCCCAGGAATACTGCGTTGGCCTGGAGACTAGTGGCACCCAGCAACATGAAGATCCAGCTCACCTTTGATGAGAGGTTTGGTCTGGAGGACCCTGAAGATGGCTTATGCAAGTAAGACCATAGATAATACTTCGACACTAGTATCTCAGTCAAATAAATACAAGCAGCTCAAAATACATTCATTTTTCCTCATGAAGGAAGATTAAACTTGATTTGGGGACAATGGTCAGTTGGTAATCTCATCAGTTGTTCTGACAGACTACATGAAGATACAGGCTGATAGCAGTAGACTGGTGATACTTGGTAATTGGACAAAACAAAATATAGTATAGAGTATTATAATATAACATATTCCATTATTTTGTATGTTCCTGTCCTCCTGGCTGGCTTTCTGGTTCAATATATTTTTTGCTAAAGGATTAGCATACACAAACGATATCGGGACACATAATTTTTCCTCTTGACTTATGTGCCAACCTCCAGAAAACTGAGTTTAGTCTTTAAATGGTTTATACAATTCATTTGGAAAGATAAGAAAACTTTTTTCTGTCTAAATGAAAATGTTGTCTTGAATGAATGAAGGATAACCTCGTCCATCAGTCAGACATAGTAATGTGCAGTGTGCTTGCTAGGCCAGCTCTCATCAGATGTGGTGTTCCCCAGTTGGCATGCCAGATACGTGTTGGTCTGAGAAAAAGACGTGTCCTGCCTGTATTGGAGCCCATCTTTAAAGATTTAGAGTCAGAGTGTGGCCATTTGTGAAATTACCTTTGGTCTGCGGTGGCAGCTTGTGAATATTGAAAACCCAGCAGCAGAGTGATTTGTTTCGCCCAAGACACCGCGATGACGTAGTTCAGGCCGGCGTATTTTATTTGATGCAGTCAATATTTTTAGCTGCTCACGTGATTGTTCGAAAGACACATGCGTCACTGTGTGCCCGGCAATACATAAACACAAACACACACACATATACATACACTACATCCTTTACTTTATTGAGGAGCTCCCTTTCAATTACTGCCTGGGTTTGCCTCTGTTTCCATTCAATCTAAATGGGGATTCCAAGCCTCAACAATCGATTTACCCTCTGTGCATTACGCTCAGTGCCCTGCCATCACTATATCACAACTGACTGGTTAGCATGGAGGAGCCCAATCAGGGGAAGGTGGAGAAGAGCTGGGGGAGGGTGACCTCACTAGTCATTCCTGGAGAGCCCCCTAATGGATGGCAAGGTGAATAACAGCAGCAGTTTTCTACAGAGCTGACAAGGTTTAGATGAGGGACGTGGCAGCACAGGATGAGAAGTCAACTGAAAATAGGAAATTAAAGGAATATGTGGCCATGAGTCAGTATGCCTCTGTTCCAGTGTCAGTTGTTGTGCATTCAATTACACTGATCAGTGAAGTGTTTGCAATTCTGACTCTGATTCTGGTCTGTTAGAGATGGGTTGCAGCTGATTCAATTGTCTAAAGTGCTGTAATGTGCTGCCATCCAGGATTCATGCCTCTTCCACATTATTCTTTCCATATCATGTCTGGTTGTTGTCAGTGAAACTAAAAGTCCGTATGTGAATGCATGTAATTCGAGCCCTCCAGCACACGTCTGAGGTGGGCTGGGTTCCCGTTGACGAATGAGGTTATTGTTGCTGTCAAAACCCTGTGAGGGGAAAGTTCCACAGTGGGGCAGGGTGCAGATTGACAACTTTTGTGCCGTCCTGCCTTCACAAGACTGCACTAGTCAGCGTCCTCAGGGAGAAGGGCGAGAGACAATAACAACATCCTTTTCCAGGGTCATGAAAGTCACCGCCGTGTCTACCGCTCCAGCTCTCGCATTTTTCATTCTCCTCGCCACCCCCACCACCGAGGCCCAACAGGTTTTGATCAGATCTCAAGATACACACTCTGGCAGGGTTGGCAGACAAACGAGCGCAGCATGCAATCACAAGCAGAAACAGACACACATTCATAAGTTTATCTACTTGTCTTTTTCTTTTCTCATTTAAACACACACTCACTTTCTCCGTCCCACATACACACTCACATGCATAAGCCTTTGGCTTAGTCTGCATATCTACTTTATCTTTCATGTGTTTAAAAATGTATTCCCAAAATTTCCCCTTAGACCGTCATTGCTGTGGTGTTACAGCAAAAGACATTCATACACAATGTTATTGAAATGCTCCTCTTACCCTTGTGTCACTGCACAATATGATGCAAATAAACAAGACTGTAATCTCCTGTCCAGTGATTCATAGCAATGGCCAGGGATAAAACAAACAACAGTGGGAGATGTGTTTGGCTCTGGTAGCAAGCCTGGAGCGAGAAGTCTTTGCTAAGATGAGAGGGAGGCTGTGTAGTTGAGATGCTCATCTGCTATTCTGTTTGTCTGTGGCACGATGAAAAGCATTCTTACCAAATCCACTGGAGGAGAGGCATATTGGAGAGGGATTGGTCTTGCTGCTGTTGGCATGGCAGCAGAGTCGTGCTTGACGGCTCACAGATAGGACTGTTCTCAGAGAGGCATTTGTGCTCTCCGTCTTCAGTTTGAAAGGAGAGGACTGGAAAACAGTATTTGTGTTGCTAATCTGCGTCATCTCCGTGGTAGATATTGTATCTATTAATAATGTACAAGGAGAAAACTATGTAAAAGAAAGCTTTGTGAATATTAAATACAGTTTGCTTGCAGAGTGCAGGAAGGGGATCCTTTCTGGTGGAAGCGTATATAACATTCCTTTGCTGTTCTGATCCTGTTCACTGTGACTGTACATACAGTTTGGTATGTATGTCAGTGCATTTGTAAATCTGCAAAACCGCTGTTCGACATGGTGATTCTGAACACATGGCGATGTGTAATGATCAGGGCGTCCTGCATTATTGATGAGCCATCTGTCAAAGCTCTGGAGCTGTCTGAGGGCTGATTTTTAGAGAGGAAAGCTTCTCTCTTCACTGACCTCCATTTAGAAAGCAGAGAGAAGCTAAAGTGATATTTTATCCTTTTCCAAAACCAGTCAGCTATCGATTAATATGAATTAATGTTTTACAGGTCATGCAGTTTTCCATCATGTGTATATGTAAAATGTGAATATATGGTTTTGTAAAGGAACACTTTCAGCTTTACCTTTCCCAATAAGTCTGTTTGTGCAGATTACAAACTTCCTGTATAAATTTCCAAATCAAAGGCAGCAGAGTCAGTAAATCTATCGACCCCACCACCACCCCCCCTTCAGTTTATTTAACATCAGAGAAAATCCATTTTTAGTCTTGTTCATGTCCCTCCATGTTGTTTTATTGAAACCAGCTTGAACTGAATCTGTCAAGCTTGTGCAAAATGTAAACAATGTCCTTGAAATCCAAATATCCGAATTGGCAGCACTGAATGAGAGGTTAGTGTGCCTGTTGACGCAAATGGCAAAGTGATTAATCCCAGACTGTGAAGAGTCAGAGAAACAAGGCTGTATTGAATGCAGTGCAGCCACTGGTTACACACACAGGTATAAATAATAAAGGCTGAACTCCTGAACTGTGCGTCTTAAGTGCTGAGGTTGGTCGATGTTAGCCTTGGCACACCAGAGGACTCTGGAGCGCGGCCATATGCCGCTGCACTTCATAATGTTTACTGGTATTATGGGTTGGCAGGGTGGTCAGTGGAGAGAGAGACTGTCACATAATTACAGGGTCATAAAGTTTGATCTCCACAACAAGCAAAATGGTGCTTTTATTTATATTTTTGCTCAAATGAAATTTAAATTATCAGAAATTTACAACACTAAATAATTAAAAACTGTAAAATTCATTATGTTAAAGCTGAGTATCATTTAAAAAATGCATGAGATTTTTTAAGATACAGTGTTTGGTTTTTAGCCACCAACAGCTTCTGCAAGTTTCAGTGATTATGTTTATAGCCAGAAAACTACTGTATAATTTAAACTGTGTTGCAGTCCAATTACATGGATTATTTCTGTGGTTACTGAAGAGCAGTTGCTGACAGTGAAAATGGAAATACAATTCTGAATACTCGATATAATACTGTCAAAGTTGAGAAATAAAACAAAATTGTTTTGAAAAAGAGATCTACTCATACTGTTTTGTTTTTTTCTATTTCAATGACAGCATGTAGCATCAGTGTAACAGTCCTGGCAGAAGGCTGCATCAGCAGACATTAACCACTAAACAATAAGAACAGCTGTTCATGCTGCATTGTCAACCAAACAGAGATTTGTCCTCAATACACTGGCAATCTTCAGTTCATTTTTACTCATTTAATTCAGGCAGTAAATAACAGACAAATTTCATCTCACCGCTGAGAAACTATAACCTGCTGTTGAAGATATTTATTTTCATTTTCTTTTTTTAAATGAGGTTAAACCTTTATTTCCCACGGCGTCTCTATTGATATTAACAGTCTCACCTTCAGAAGGGCAAGGCAGATCTGAAGAGACAGCTACATGGCAAACTTTAAAGGTGCTGACAGACCTAAGAAATAAAGATACAATTAAAACTGCAAAAACTAGCATGCATGTGAAAGCTCAAACAAGGACTCTAGCAGCTGGAAGTTTCATGGTAATGGGAAGTCTCAGAGTGGGTCCAGTAAAGAGTGATGTCTCAGAGTGTAATCTCCTCCTGAACTTTCTCTGTCAAACTCTTAACAGGTACGACTTTGTGGAGGTAGAGGATCTGACTGAGAAGACCGTCCTGGGTCGTTGGTGCGGGTCACAGTCGGTACCAACTAGTCACACATCCAAGGGCAGTCAGATCAGGATCCGCTTTGTCTCTGATGAGTACTTTCCCTCTGAGCCAGGATTCTGTATCCACTACTCCCTCCTGGCTGAGGTAAGTACAGTATCAGCGCTCAAGAAATTGAAAAGTCTGCATTTAGAGAAGTTGGGCACATAGCTGTCATAGCATTTCTCTGCTTCTATCTCCAACCGCAGAAAGTTCACATAGGAATAAGCAAAGCCTCTTCATGTAAACACAATTAAAATAATTTGCTTATTGCATAACATGCTCTCTTAATTTGCAATCATCCATTTCTGCCTTAGTGTTCCCGAGGTTTAAAGCATCGTTGGGGAGAAATTATGTTTGAGGTCTTTGGACAATCTGGCAACTGTATTATCATTTATTTTATTTAGTTATGAAGATATGCAAAAGCCAGGACATCTCTTATACACAAAATGTCCATAATCTGTGCAATGACAGTGGTGAGTGTGATTATTCATTCGAAGTTGCCAACATGTGGTTATAGCAGCCAAAATTAGAGCAATATTATATATTATTAATAGAGTATTCCCTCAAGAGTTAAAATTGGATTTTTCTGTAATGGACACTAGAATAGTTCTAATACCTTAGAAAGCAACAAAGATCTAAAGTACATTTACTCATATACTGCCTCCTTGAGTTACAGATTCTGAGTGAGTCAATATTCCCTTCAAATGGTTTCAAACTGTAATTTTCTCATTTTCCGGAGGTACTATGGTTTCCACTTTTAAATACCTGTTACATTCTCCATTATAGCTCTATATAAAGCCATATACCCTCTGAACTTGTACTGTATCTATAGATCCAGTCAGAGGAGTCTGACAGATGAGGTGTCTCAGTGTCACTGGTGGTGTTGCCTGAGACCGAAATGGAGAAAATAAGCGGTTTCACATTCACAAAGAGGTACTCTGACCTCCGGGGGGATTCATTCATGCCCCTGAAATGAAAGAAGGAATTAAGAGATAGAAGTGCTTTTTGTGTGGGAAATTGTCAGGCCGCTGTCTGTCTGTTTCATTTTCTGTTCACATTTTATCATTACATACAGTAGCTCAAAAGTAATACCCTTTGTTATGTGTTTCTACAATAGCCCACTTCACAAAGATACCCCTGTTATTTGACTCTATACTTCAGACAACATAATGTAACTGGTCTGTCTTTCTGCTCTTTCCTGTTATGTCTCTCTTTCACTTGTCTTTGCGTATAATAGAGACTATGATCACTAGTTCCATCCCTCATTTAACTTTGTTTCCATTCACCTTTTAGACTTTCGGTACAGTCTAAAATCAGCAGTTACGCTAAAGACCATCACATAGCACAAGACACAAGCAACAGCTGTAGTCATGAGGGTTGTGTCACTTGTGTGATCATGTATGGTAAAAAAAAAAAAGTTATGAGCTAAATATCAGTGGGTGGAGCCAAAGTATTTGTCAAAGCATACTGTAAGTTGGTTACAAAGAGTGAATGAAAAAGAAAGAAGCTCTTGTCGGCGTCCTGCTTTCATGCTCCTTCACCCTGTACTTGATTTTAGTCGGACATTAGCTTGATAATAAATTGCTGTTTCTTTTCATGTAACCTCATGATATCTCTCTGATGTAATTTCCCACTGACATGAGAGCATTTTACATTTTTCATGACAATCTTAGAAATAACAGACAAAAGCATTTTGGAGTTAGTCTACTCTTGTGTGTATTAAAGTTCAGCCTCTGAGAAAAATTGTTGTCTCTAAGTCACCTTACAATAAATTGTACAGCTAAATAATTTACATCCATGCTAATTGCTGTGTTTGTGGCCAGCTATCTCTGTTTCCATTCTAACATCCTGTCTACAAAGCTGTGATTAGTTAATTGCTTCTCCAGCCAACAGCCATCAATAAGTACAACACCAGAATTATGTGAAGTGTGTAATGTGGTCGATGATTCAGCGGTCAAAAACTAAGAACTGGGCTAGCTTGACATCACCTTACCAGAAATGCCACATGTCTTTGGCTCCACTCACTGAATTTTAACAGAACCAGTGAGGTCATATTTTACCTCCATAGCTGTTCAGCTTCTAAACATGTGCTTGCATAACTACTGTAAAATTCAGATACATGGATAAAAGACTTTGCCTGTGCACATCTAACTATCTTTGTCTGGATCCATCTTCTTCCCATTCTTCATTCCCTTTCACTTTCACTGGCTTTTTTTTTCTGTCCTGATCTTCAGACCACACACACACAGAATCCCTTCGTCCCTACGAACCTCACTGACAAAAGCCCGGAGATAAACTGAAGAGACGACTGCCATGTTTTAACCTGTCATGTTTTAGTTCTGTTCACTTGCTTTAAGTAAACACCTCTACTCCTCATTAATCCCTAATGGCCTGCAGCACTGTGAAATCTGACAAGCACAAATAGGCAACTTAGGTCACTGATGGTGATTTGAATTCCCTCTGTAACATTTTTTTCTCCACTTCAAAAGCTTTTTTGCTCTTTTATTCCTCATACACATTATTATTGCATTCTTTCTTCATCCTTAAAATCCCAAACAACATTGTTGATAGCAGAACTAACCGACAGAGGATTTGCTGACACACTGAAAACATGTCACGCTGAACATCAAAGATGTATTTCACAATAAATACAGATGTCTTAAAAGTGAAAATACAACTAGTACATGTGATAGAGTCAATAAATATTGTTGAATTGACGTTAATAGCAGCTTGCAGATGCTAAGTTTCTGAAAAGAAGGTTTCTCAGTCAGTCTCAAGTACTGACAATTTCTATTTGGTAATGAATTGTATCAAACTGTACCACATGTTTACTGTAGTGACTTGTAGCACAAGTGAGGCCTTGCTTTATCAATTAGACATTAATCCAATAAGGAGTTACTCAATTCCAAAATCCCAGAAGTGGAGAGAATTGTCATATAATGATCAAGTCTTCAAATGGTACCATGTACAGTCCTCATTTGCATGAATCATCTATACTATACTTTGGTTTTTACCATCAGTTTGGACGAAGGGAAACTCCCAAATAAACCTTTTAAACATGAAAAACATCAAGAAGCGCAAGATGGGTTCTGTAACCATTTTTATTCAACAAAAGAGGCCTAAGTAAAATTAAATCTAAATTAAGTCTAAAATTTGCATTTATTTGATCAAGTAATTTAGGAATAATATGATCATAAATGTAACATAAAAGTAAAGAAAACTGAATAATAGCTCTTGATAAAGTTACTGACACTTTTGACACATTTCAGTTGGTAACAAGAAAAGTATATGAAAATATAGTGGATTATTATTTGAGTAATAATGTGAGAGTTAGTGTTGGGATTGGTTGCAAGGTCAGATGAAAAGCAGTGTTGATGTTAAACAGGATCGTTCCCTTCCGGGTTGAGAAAACTTGACCACTGCTTAAATAATTTTAAAAAATGACGATTAGCTAAATGTCTCTAATGATGAGACTGATTTTCTACCTCAGGAAAACTGAAGGAAAACAACATCTTATAATTTTACAAAATGTTCTAAAATGTTTTACAACAAAGATAGATGATGTCAGGGTATTAGGATGAAAGTATTTTGTTGTGGTGCTCAAATGTCGGCCTCTAACTGTTGGAACAAGAAGCCGAGTTTGTGTTTCATATCCCAACTCTGGAAGGTGCGGAAACCATGAGGGGGAAAAAAGGAAGCTTTGGCCTCTGCACGTTCAGTCTGGCTTCTCTTTGAACCTTCCTCTGACAGAGGAGGAGCACACTAGAACAGCAGCACTCTGTTTCCTCTGTGGTCAACCAGCAGCTACTGAAACCTCATGCCACGCAGGGGCCAGCACTTTAGTTTATATTTAAACAAGCAATAATTCCTCCCCACCACTTCCATGGAATGGAAGGGGGGGGGAATAAGACCCGGTCTGTAACTCAGAGGAAGGGATTTTAGGGAAAGTGAAAGGGCCGAGGCAAAGAGGTTGTTAAAACACAGAAGAGAAAGAGTCTGTTGAATAGAGTGTGAGGGGCGTTGAGTGGCCGGCGTTGTGGGTTAAAGAAGCAAACAAAACATACATCATTGTCTCTGTGAGGTCTCGGCCCAGAATTAACCTGCACCAGTTGGCATGAAGATGGCTCTACCAGCTTTGTTTGTTTTCAATGGATTGCAGAGAGTTTTAGTTTCTCCGGATGTAAATAATTCATGTTATGTTTGCCTGGATAACAGCACACGCTACACTCTGCTATTTAAATAGAAAGACTTGCGAAGAGGGAGATAGGACAAAGGAAGTAGAGACTGAAATCCTAGTTAAAGCAGATGGTAATGACTGGCAAAGCCATGCAGGAGTCTCACCGCTGGCATGATGAAACTGAGGTCTGTTTTTACGCCAACCTCAATTGCAGCATGTGGCGTATAGTGAGAGACAAAAACACTTTTTTCACGCACAACAGACTTTGTTGCTTACTCAAAGCTCTCTTGAGCAAGGAAGTGGTTTGCAACTTCATGTGAAAGAGAAGATATTGTTTTCCAGAGCTCTCCCAAGATGCTATTTCAGAATTGTCATCTCAACATAGTTAGCTGAACCTGTCATTTTAGTTACCAGAAATAAAATCATGTGGTTGTGCTTTATAAGAACAAAGAGAGCTGGAAACGAGGTAATCACAGTTTGAAAACAAGGTTATTTCTTGAGGGTCAGGGGGATCAGAGAGTTTGGTAGTGAGAGGAGGTACATTACAAGATTTCACACTTAGAAATAGAAAAAAAAAAAGAGATACACACTCAGCCTTTTACCATTTTAAAAGCAAGTACCCTTTCAAAACATACATTCATTGACCCAGCTTCATTCTATGAAGCTGCCTGTATATACAATGTGCAGCATCTCCTACTGTAGTAATCTCACAATTGAACATATTTGAGAAAATTGGTTTGAGGACAGAACGCTCCAGTGTGTCTCTACTCTGAATCTCTCAGCCTGCCTCGGGCTGCTGGCTCAGCTATTTTTTCATAAAAGATTGACATAAGCAGCATCCAACAGGAAACTCCTTTTTATTAAGGAAGCCAAAGAACATAATAGATGAAGGTGTCCCTATAAGGTTAAAGACTAAGCACCACTTCAAAGAGTAAATCCTTCGTGTAATTTTGGAGGATTGCTATGCAAATAAAGATTATAGTTTAGTCATTACATTGCAGTCATTTGACAACTCTTTTGGCTCAAATGACTTCCGTTATTGCCCCACATATCCACCCAAGTCAGGGCAATTTAGGGTTTGCCGTGTTTTGCTTGAGGGCACTTCAGTCAAAAATTAAACCCTTCAATTTCTGACTCGGCCCACTCTGCCACCTGAGCTACAAGTCATAGACATTTCAATATTAATCATCAGAATGCTGTATTTTCTTCAGCATGTCAAAATAACTGCCTGAAAAAGGTTGTAATCATATGTAAAAATACATTTTAAATATCATGTTGTGCTATTATGAACCTCTTGCATACGAAAAGCTAAATTCGACCCAAGTCCTTGCTTCACTGCCACCACACAGTGGCTTGTATTTATGCAGGGGACTCTTGGATTCAGGACATTCATCTCCCTGTGAAAGCTGTATACTTGCCAGTGTGAGCTTTTGGTTAAAGGAAATAAGCAGTGCTATGCATGCTTTAGCCGTTGTTTTCATACTGTGAGACACCTATAGACACAGCAGACTGCACAAGGACCTGGACTGACCTGGGGGCTCAGTGGGCCAAGGTGCATCTGTCATCTCTGCATTTTGTGCTGCGTCCTGTTTTTGAATCTATACCCAGCCTTTATTGAAGGTCATTCCACTCATTATATTTCAATCTATTATGTTTCTGTGTTCCTGACATTGCCATATTAACACAGAAATGACAACAAATGAAGAGGTTGAGACAGTTAAGGGAATTGGAAACAGATTTCCAAATATTCACTATTTAAACTCATAGATCATCAATCATCTAGAAGTCATTTATGGAGCCGAGCCTAGTTTGAAAACCTTTTGTACTCTTTCTGAACCTAGCAATGTTTTTCTTAACTCATTCCATTATGTGTGTTCATATATCAAGTCTTTATGTGTCAAACTTCACACATAGACACTCCTCTAATTTCATGCCAGTTAAAATTGCTGGTCCATTAAAGAACCTTGTTCCTGAATTTCTTATATTGGAGCTCTCATCTGTTCCTTACAGCTTTATTCACACCATATTGATGTGTCACTGAAGGATTGCTTGGCTTTCCTCTCTGAAGCTGAGCCTGCAGAGCGCCACTAATTGGGGGAATGCTGCACCGTCGACATTCACAAGCTGTTAATGACTCCTGCTCGGAGGAAGGGCTGTTCATTTCACTCTTGCATACGGTCTTATGGTGCTATATGACCAGTCCTTTCTGGATTTAATATTTCTTTCACATTTGTGTCTGTTTATCTCAGTAGGTGCCAAATAAACCAAAGATATGCTCAGTGGTTGTAAAGGCATTAGAATGAGTCAAATCTGTGGCATGAGCACAGCTGCACATCAGCTGTATTTTTGTAGCCTGTGGTGCAGCCATGTCAAACCACCGGCATCTTATTTGAAAGTCTGTGCCAAAAGGGCTTGGGTTCTGAGTATTTTATATGGACTCATGCTGTCAATAAGACTTTGGGGTGTTTCCTGTGTTACCCCTATCATTCATTGTGAAAATGTCAATACACATGCTGATCTGTTCACTTATGTCTGCCCAGTCTGAAAAAGGACTACATGTATCCCACATATCTCTGCTGTCTCTGCTGGTGCCCAGCTGAAGTACACTATATTTACTCTTGAGTTTTTTAATGGTGTCTATATGGAAATAGTATATAGTGTCATATCTGTGTTCTTGTTATAAAAAAAAAGTACTTTGAAATAAAATCATGTAAGCCTCTTGATTGATAACGTTTGAGGTTTAACAGTGCCACGAATACGAACATTTTTAGCATAAGTAGTAAATAGGAATCCAACCACAAATCCTTGCTATGTCAGTGCCATGGCCTCTGGTGAAAGGAAAACCTTTCCTCTTCTAACCCCCATTTCTCACCGGATTCCTTTCTAATTCTCCCCTATAAGTCATCAAAGGGAAGATACAGATTCCTGGAATGATTTTTTCCTTTTTTTCTTTTCAAACATGTCTGCCTCCCCAAAAGCTTTAAGCCCCAGCTGCCAGCAGCCAATGTTTTCAATGCTTCACAAGCTGCATTTTTTGTAAGTGTCACAATGTTGCCTTCTACCTGTCAGTCACAAAAGATTAGAGAGACCAGCGAGCTGACATGTTGGACAAACGCAGCGTCACAGGACTGAAAGGTTTAACAGATTAGCCTCTTCTCTCATGGGAAGACCAACACCCCAGGTATCAATCTTTTCTGTGACTGCACGCTCTAGCCTGGAGAGTTGGGAGCTTGAAACAAATAAAGCTGCTGCCTGCGAGAGTTTCAGGGACAAATGTCATTATGCAGAGTGGGCAGAGGAGCCGACAGAGATGTGATCACATTTGACAACTTAAAAATGACGCCATTAGTTCACATGGCCTCTCGCATGGAACCAGTTCATGTATAGTCAGTACAATATGAACCTTGTTAGAGCTCCACTTCACAATGACTGCTATATCTTCACAGCCAGAGCTTATAAATGATGTCCCATTACTATGTGCAGACTCCAACACGCTTATTGATGGGCAAGACTGAGCTGCCAGATGTAATATTTTATCAAAATATGAATTTGTATGTGAAGGAGTGTGTTCTCAACGTCTTCTTCAGCTCTCAGAATAAAGTGGCAAACTGTTTATCCAACATATTGACCAACATGGGAAGTCTGTCTTTAGTCACAGTGCTGCCACACATTACCAGGTCTAACACATAGAGCTTAAATGGGCCCCAGCTGGGCTGGGCCATCATGGTTTCTGTTTAACTCAACTCAGATCCAAACCACTGTAGCATTTAATGAGCCTGAACCCAATTTAAACCTGTTTTACTGTCATGACATAAAATGTACCATTGCAGAGTCAAACTTCCCTTCTTTTTATACCTTAATGGTTTTTCACATTGTAGAAATAAAAACACATCTTGTCACTGTTGACAAAGTTGTTCCTTCTGTGTAATTTTCCTGTTTTAGTATTCGTAACCTAGAGCAAGCTTACAAGCTCTTAAATGTCACTGACAGTGGTGAGGATGTGAGTATCTTGAGGCAGTTGGTGCAATAAGGCGGTTTTCTGGGTATGGAAACTGCATGTCTATTGTCTCTATGTCAAACTTCATGATGTGGAGGGATATAAAATAGGAGATTGACATGACACATAAGCACATCTTCTGGCAGAGAAAAGCCCATCATCAAGTCCATCAAATGGAGAAGCTTATAAAGGCAGAACCCTACATCCAATACATTGTTCACTGCATTCATTGTACAAATGACCTTTTTGTTACAACTTTCTTCATCATCTGTTGGTTTTCCTGCAGAGTGTGTCAGAACCCGAAGTTCCTGTGGATCTCCCTCCAGCCCTGCATGGTATTGAGGAGCTGTCAGAGGCTGTGGCAGGGCTGACCACTGTGGAGGAGGTCATGAAGTACCTGGAGCCGGAGCGATGGCAGGTGGATATGGAAGAGTTGTACAAACCTACATGGCATGTGCTGGGGAAATCCTTCATCCAGAACAAGAAAGCCAAAGGTAGGACGTTTTTACCTTGTGCAACAACCAGTTTACTCAAGCTTATAACAACAGTCAAGAAAGTTATATAACTGTTTACAATTTAAGAAAATAGTCAGGTATGGCAGGTAGGACGTGAAGTGACCATGTCTTCTCTTTGTCTTGGAGGAGGGGCCGATCTCAATCTGTTGAGGGAGGAAGTTCGCCTGTACAGCTGCACTCCACGCAACTTCTCTGTGTCCTTGCGTGAAGAGCTGAAGAGGACAGATGCCATTTTCTGGCCCAGCTGCCTCCTGGTGAAGCGCTGTGGTGGAAACTGTGCCTGCTGCTCTCACCGCTGCTACGACTGTCAGTGTGTTCCCGCCAGAGTCACAAAGAAATACCACGAGGTAATTATCAAAAAATCTTCAAAAAAGTGATATTCACCTTCTACATAATTTCATATTTGACCACAAAGTGCCATGAAAGACTGAATTACTGCAATTTTACTACATTATATTTCAAATTAACTTATAGTTCTGAGACAAATTTGTAAAGAATGTGGTAATAACTGTATCTTTCTGTAACAACACTGGGAAAAGTGATGCTTAGAGAAACCCAGTCAGAAAACCAATAGCAAAATATCCAATTATAATAGCGTTTGATTACAAACATATCTTATGAAATTTGGTGCAACAAAATCACAGGGCAGTTTGTAGATATCACCAAAATAAGGAAACATGAGGATATTTCAGCATCCATTGTTCAAAGAAATCTTTAGATTTCGAAGACTTTATAGAGAAGACTTTATAATACAAGTGACAAACTGCGTCCTGGCTCATAGGGGGATAACAGCTCAGAAACACAGGGAGGGGGCAGCTCAAACCTGGCTTTAAAAGTAATTATAAAGAATTTAAAAATCAGTCCTAAAATAAACAGGCAGCCAGTGTGAGGATGCTTAGACCGGGGTGATAGGAACACATGTTTTAGAGTGAATCTAAAACTTTTTTCTCACTAGCAGCAAAGAATGAATGCCAGTGTTCATAGACCCCTCTAATGACTTTTGATGACCCTCTGATGAATTTTCTCTTGCACCACCTTCTGGCCAAAATATCAATTTTATATACATGTTAACTATTCTTGAAAAAACCTTAAGTTTATATTGCATAACCTTTGGTCCTGTGGCATTTCCTTCTCTTAAGTCAATATTTTCAATTGCACACAAAGTTATTAGACTGCCATGACATTTGCCATGCAGTGTACTTCAGTTTGGGGATTCAATTATTCTGTAGTGCCACTATCAGGTTTCACTTCCGAATAACCTCGTCACTGAGCATACTTTACATCAAGTATCTGATGTCCAGATGTGCATTCAAGCGTCTTTGTTTTGGGCAGGTTCTGCTGTTGAAGCATCGGAGCGGTGGGAGAGGCCTGCAGAAGTCAATGACTGATGTGCCCTTGGAGCACCATGAGGAGTGTGCCTGTGTGTGTAAAGATGACTGGGACTGACCTCAAACATGTGTAATCGCTGCCACTGGAATCACACGGGATGTTAAAAACGAACCTCTGCCACTGTTGCAACCAACGTTCTGTATCTCATCCACTTCCGCCAGGAGCTAACAAGATTCTCCCTTCATCCCTTTGTCCTTCCGCTAATTGGATGGAGCAGAACAGACTGGAATCTAATAAAACTTCTGAATGGATTTGACTGCTGTGGAATACCAATGGTGTGCTCTGAGTGCATTTTAGAGAGACAAAAATTCACTGGAGCAGATCTGGACTATTACCTATGTGCTCTGAAGACCAGCTTCCTCAGCTCCTTGGAGATAAGAGCATTGAGGCATTTTTTGCCTCTTCTTCTTTTTTAAAGCTCAGCCAGCGTTGGCTGATATTTTCATGGAAAATGGGAGCTTCTTTGTTCAAGTACTTTTTTCTTTTCTATAAGTGAGCTGGTTCCAGCTGCCTTGCTCCCTCTGCTCCTCTATTATTACCATCAAGAAAAAGGAAGGTGCTTTTTTATGAGCAGTTTTCCCTTGCTCTCCTCTTGTTTTACCACAGATTTATTCAGCAGTAAAACACAGCAACAATATCGCTGAAATGCCTCTCTAATGAGACTGTATTATGTGTAAATATTTCATTTGCATTTCTTTCCTGTACTGTTGTGCCTTTTCTACCAAAGATTCTCAAGGAGAAGATAAAAGTTGCACATGTTGAAACAGCTTGGTGTTCTTCATGGCAACTCTTCATTCGACCCATCTTGGCAATACCAGTGTCAAACCTGGTTGCTTCAGGAACGCCTAGTGTCAAGCAATTCTGGCCACATTTGAATTTGTTCATATTAGATATTTATTTGTTTAATGAAAGGGAAATTCTGGTCCAAAATGTCTTGTTTGCAACATTTGTCAGTGTGCAGTAGTATTAGCCTGCATTTTCATTGTTAGTCATTTTTACATTTTCATTGTGTCATGGATGTTTTCCATTTTCTGTAAGTCAGTTATTTATCTCTACTTTTGCAACAATTGTTTGTGTATTTCATTGTACTGAACATCAAAAATAAATTCTTCCATGTCTAACTGGCGGAGGTACAGTATTGGGAATAACGAACAAACTCAAAAAATAAGATAGTGTAAGTGTTTTTCCAAATGGTTGCATTTACCAAAGAAAAGAAAAAGCAGAAATTATGGTCATATTTGGAAAAGATACTATATTTTCTATACGATATCAGTGCAAATCAGAGTGAGAAACCTGGACCACTGGTAAATAAAGTGGACTGAAAGGTTCTTCATGACGTATAGAAACACAATGTACATTATTCCTCTATTCAAATAAGGTGAAAAGCAGTGCAGAAATGCCCTAACCTTTGAGCACAATATATTCCTCTCTGCAACAAAAAATCTTTTCAGTGCAACAAAATCACACGGTTAGATTTTCTCTTTCTTCATTTCTCTTTTTATAGCATTGATTTCTGTAAATGCAGTTTACAAGTCCCTCACAGAAAATTTTCCAAAAAAAGAAAAACTGAAGGACAAACAAAGTGAGTAAACTTCTCATATGTGAAATAATATTCGATGTGTTAGCTCGCTGTAAATACCAAATGAGCTAGAAGGGCCTAACACCATTATTATTATGAATATCATTTGTTAAATTATTTATTTTGAAATTTGTTGTAAGGTCTGAGCCATCCAAGTATTAGTACTGACAATATGGAGTTTGGACCACCAGATTTTCAACATTATTATTTGCATAGAAATGTGAAAAAATTGGATGATGTTACCAGGTTCTTGCATCTCACTTGAACCTTGTATTATTCCAGGTTTGTCCCAACACTAATATCATATCAGAGGGGCAAGTGAGTTGTCCAAGTGCCTTTCTTGTGTGACCTTATATATTATTATCCCAAATGCGAACCTTGAAAAACTTGCTTCTGATTTTGCACATATGTACACAGTTGAAGCTTCAGCTCATCAATCACACTCGGTGACGGTAACCATCAAGAAGTGTTAATTAAAGAATCAGGGGAACTTTAGTTTGCCCAAGAGTTTTTTCATCCTTGGTGTGTTGGTGAAGATGCTGGAACATGGCTCGCAGAGTCTTTTGGCTTTGTGCATGAATGACTGAGCCAGTAAGTTAAAGTATGTGTGCGAGGGAGGGAGATGGTGTATGAGTGGAAATGATTTAGAGAACATCCCTTTCTATATTTGTAACTGTGTCCTCAGGATTTTGTATGTGAGAGTTACTCAAATTTTTCTTTATAATCTCTTTTTAACCTAATATTAGAAGCATTACCTTAAAAGCTAAATAGAAAGCACTTCTCCCTTAAGCCTTATCTTTTTTTTTTTTTATTCCACAAGCTCCTTATCAGACACTGAGCAGCGTTGTTCATTCTCCCCCTCAGCCATCAGGTCACCCAGGAGGAGGTTCTCATTTGTCCATCTCACGCTGCTGTCCTGGCCAATTATTCTGATCTAATGTGCGCCCTGGCAGGCATCTGCGGTGACGCCAGATGCTACTGCATATACACACCGGCTCCCAGCGTGGTTTTTATGATATTAAACAGACTGCCCTCCTCAGTCGGTGCAGTGTTACTCTGCAGAGGAAACCTCACTGCACTGGCACAAGATGTGACACAGCATGGGCAGTTGGTCTGGTTCTTGGTGTGTTTGTGTATACGTGAGTGTATATGAAGATGTGAGTGACTACAGTCCACAGCACTTGACGCCTCCACCCTTCAGCCACATGCCCCTCTGCTCATTGCCTCCTTCGCTGTGAAACCAAAGAAGCCTCAGTTGGGCTACACCGCAACGTCATACTGCAATTTAAGTGTCTATTTAATGCAAGAAACCAAAATTTAATTCATTTTGTCTGAGGAAAAACTCCAAAACATCATCCAACGAAGACGTTTTTAGAGTTATAACCAGTTATGACGTACTTACAAAAATAAAAGCCCAACAGAGTAATTAGCATAAATACTGAGAGCCGCTGTGGGCTGAAGTGTTTTAATACTTTTGGAGTTTGATTCTTGCTCAGGCCAAAGGCTGAGGCACAATGACAATCTCTGTCTGCCTCCTCTACACATGAATCATCTTTATAACAGGCACAGCTCACTCAGCCCCAACATCTCCTCCTCGTCTAATGAAATAACCAGGCTAACCTCTAATAAATTGCAAATTTGACCTTACCTCTGTATATCTGAATAGCTGAAAAGATGAAGTATCCGACACCTCCATACACCTAATCATAAGAAATAATAAATCAAAACTCAGTGCAGAGATTCACATTTGTCCCTGACATTTTTCTGTCAGTGGAAAGTGTGGAGGCTGTATGCTGTTTTTTTTTTCCTTTTCCTTTTTTTTTTGTTTTCTTGCATCAAGGAGGTTATGTTTTAACCTGTGTCTGTTTGACAGCAGAACTACGCAAAAAATACTGAACCGATTTGCACCGAAGTTGTCGGAGCGATGGGGCATGAGCCGGGGAAGAACCCACTAAATTCTGGGGTAAATCTGGATCATTTACTATGAATTTGAATTTTTCACTCCACCAGCACTTTAGCCGATAGCAGCAGCAACAACAGTGGTCTTGACGTCTCACTTATCTCTGTCGTTTCTGATCACTTATGACTGTTACTCTTCTGCACTGTTGCTAAGTGTATAAGCAGTACTTTCAAATATATGAATCTCAACTTACCCCCCAAAGGAAAACTGACATTTTGATTCCAACTCACCAAACAATCAGGGGATACTGTGACATTTTTATATTTTTGGATCTGCTCTCTGTGGTTTCCCTGAAGTAGCTCACAACTGCTGTTAGCATGCCCCCAATAAAAGCACGGGTCATACCTTGCTGCAAGCACATTGTTAGCTGTGCCTGTAGAATGCAAATGATGAACAATCCGCTTCAACAACAATAAGACACAGAAGCTTTTCTTTCCCTCAGTGGGACAGATTTCTGGGCAAGAAATGAACACCTACGTTTGAAAATGTCAGAGCAGCCCTGCAAACAAAACTCTGAAACTTCATCACCTCTGCTGCAGAAAAAAAAAGTGATCCAGAAAAGGAAGTGTTACAGTCCCGTTCCATTTTCCATCAAGTCTTATTATTGTTGCATCTACAGGAGGAAATGTTGGAAGATTCACGACCGCTTTTGCAGAGTCCCCCACATTTACAACCATCCATCTCCTGTAACTGGCAGCTGACTATAAATTTCAATATGCAGCCTGGGAATCGATTGCAACTTGAGGTCGTTTATAACTGTGCTGGGTCTTTGAGCACTGACTGATGGGGAAAATATGGCATCCCCATCCAGATGACATCTCCAGCATCCCTAATTGGTTCACCGTATACGGATGGAAAGGCCAAATTTACGGGTGCATGTTATGTTTTGATAATTATAGGGTGCTGCAGTAGCGGTTTTCGAAGAACCGGCTGCTGCTGCTGGGAATGTTCGGTTCTCGACTTTAGCGTAGTATTAATCATGGGTCAGGAAATCATTTAGAAAGCAGCCCGTCATAGGAGAGCTTCATGTTAAATACACTGTAAGTTAAATCATTTGACATATGTCTCCCATTTCAGCCTTCATCTCCTCATTACGTCCAACGTTTAACCGCTCCATGTTACCACACAAAGATGAAAGGATTTTAGATTTACCCTGAACTCTATAATACACTATACATCCTGCCAAGTATCAAATACGTACAGTATACACAACAATTTTACCAAACTGAGAAACCACAGGCAAAGTAGAGCAATATACCTGACTATACTTAAACTGCTAGAAAGTTCAGTGTTTGAGCATTGCAGCAGCTTAATAGGTCATCATGCAGCTAGTCATCAGACATTCAACGATCATCAACAATTTAAAACCAAAGTCATCAAGTGTAAAGTATCTGAGTCAGGCAGATTGTCACCTCCTCCGCCTCCACTGTATCGCGTCACTTATGAATCACTTAGTAAATGCCATCTGACTGAGCGCTTCGCTTTATCCCCGAGCACATCTGCGCAAGTGATAGTGTGTGAGCTACATTCATGTCATAGCATATCTCCTTTCAATACACACACACACACACACACAACATAACATGGTGGCAGTTGTAGATACACTGAGGGTCCAGGACTGATGAGTTGCGACAAGCCTCTCAGAGCTGACGCTATTACTCACAAACATCAAACCCTGCCAACGGCCATGAGAGAAAAGCATCCTTAATAGAAAACAAGGTCAAAAGTCGCTGATTCCTGTGTCATCCAGTCATCCAGTTAATTGGCAGTGTGTATGGCTCACCCTGAAGGTACACTTTGTGGCTCTCTAATGATGAATTCAAACTAAGAGGAAAGCAACGCTCTCTTTGTTAGTCTTTGGTTTAATATTATGAAGGGCAAAAATAAAAGTATCATATAAAATTTTAAGGGATTGAAAGAAACGTTTTGTTTTTTTTAATTTTATTTTTCTGAGTGAAACTAATTATTAAATGATTAAAACAGTCAAATTGAATTTATTAAGAAGAACACAAATTCTCCAGGAATACTTCTCAATGAGAAGTTTGTGCTCCTTCACAAATAAATATGTGCCAGTAGCATGACTTATGAAAAGGTTAACTGATGATAACACTGCAAGAAAAATAACTTTTGTGAATAGTCCAGCTAATGGAATTGGTTTGGTGATGGTTAAAAATCACTGAAATTAAAGTGGAAAGCTTCACAAGTGCTAATTGTCAGAATGAACTGCACGAGCCACAGCAGATATTTTAGACAGTATGTCCTAGTAGGAAAAAGAACATGTGTAATTGATAACATAATTATAGCTGTGTTTCATTTAGATCTGCCAGTTATATGCATGCCGGCTCATTTCCACGGCTCACTGGGACACTTAAAAGGCATGGAGCCATTGTTGATGTTATTAGTTACACCTTTGATTTTCCTGGTAAGTCGAAATGTCTTCTGAGGAAAAGCCCGTACAGCTAGCTGTGCTGTCAGGTTGCACGGATTAGGATAAATGTTGAAATGCAGTTTTTATCTGCCTTAATCCACGGGGC